ATATGGATTCAGGTAGACGGAGAATCCATTATGTCTTTTGTTCGATGAGTTGCAGCCCAACCGGTTAGTATGCCAACTCAGCAAAATACCTATATCTCCGAAAATAATTTGAATTTTGAAAAATCCTCTCGTAGACATATTCTTAAATAGTTAAACTTTGAAAATATGAAAAAAACAAAAATCGATTTTTTCTTATTTCTAGACCAGAATACCCCCTTAATTTAATCGATACTCTACATGTAATGGAAAACTATGAATAATACCATATAAGCTGGCACGTTGTCGATGAAAGCTTGAAGTTCAGGATTATTCGATTGACGACCAACTAATCGTCTCCCTTCGCCATTTAACACCAACGCTGCCAATTGTTCCATATTTCCGTTTTCCAGTAAATTATCTACTTCCGGATCCAAGATCATGCTACCCTCGTTCAACTCCGTTTCAGGTAATTCTTCGTGTTCACCAACAATGACCTGGACGACGCAACGAACGTGTGTCTATAAGTTCAAACTTCTCTGCATAGACACGGTTTACCGATCGATACCGAAAGATAGTAATCGTACATGGGAATCCCTTATTACGAATCGATCGGGTCGCGTGTCAAACGCGAAGTAGATAAAGATAGTTGTACTAAATGTTTATTAATAATGTACTAAGGTAACTAAATGTCTAGCGTTAGGATGATGATAGCAAATATTTTCAATATTTCTCTTACAATTAGTATAAATATTAATACGAGCAACGTTAATACCTGATCTTCCTCGTTTGTTGGATCATCAACTCCAGAGTCACCAGTACTTGGATCATTCCTTTCCTCATGATCGGTAAGAATCGGCTCGTTATTTGTACCTTCAACTATCTCAGATTCCTCGGTTTCTTCTGGTTGCTCTTCTACCTCATTTTCCGTAGTTTCTTCCCTCGTTTCTTCCACCGTTTCTTCCTCGTCTTTCGCACCAGTAATAACATCGTCGTCCGATGATTTTTCTTCCGTTTCTTCGTTTGCCTTGACATTTTCGGACACGTGTTCGGAAGCAGACTCGGGTAAACCCTCGTCACCTTCTATCGGCAAATCATCCTTCTCCGTTTCAATTTTAGTCCCCTAATCGATCGATAATAATATCGTTAGAAAATAATTATTATTTTATATAAGAAAAACATATATGGAAACGAGTATATTTTATGCATATTTAGTTATTTACATATTTACAGATGTTTTTGTTGTTATTATTATTACAAATACAAATATAATTTTTAGGGTAATAAATAAATATCAAATTATAATTTTTAGGTTAGTAGTTAACTGACGAGAGTATATAACAGCATACGAGATTTGATGTTCGTATATGTGGATAATTGCATGAATGCTGATTATAACACTAGTTTACAAAATTTAACTTTTTATCGGTTGACACGTGAATTTTATGGTTGATAATGTTTACTTATTATTTATTTTTGTCAAATCTAACCTCAAAAATTTGTGTACA